CCAGCTGTCGGGGTCCACCGAGGCGCCCGTGCCGGTGGCGTAGCAGCTTCCGTACAGCTGCGTGAGGGGCAGCGCGGCGGGGAGGGGACCCTTGGCAGGCGGCAGGCTGCCAGGCGGCTGGGTGCGTGGCCGGCGGTGCGTGGGCAGGCGGGTGCGACAATCGAGGGGCCCAGGCAGCCCTGCGTCGATCCCCAGGGTGCAGCAGCAGCAGCAGGCAAAGCCAGTGAAGGCAAGCAGGCTGCCACGCCAGGCGGCCTGCCCGGTTGTGCCTGGCGGCGCATGGCGCCGGCAGCAGCCACACCGGCAGGGTGTTGCTGAGCTCTGGATGATATAGCCCGTCTCCAGAGTCATACCCAGTACTGATGTCGCCACTAGCTGCAAGGGGGTGCGCCAGGGTGGGCGCAGGACCGAACCACGTGAGCGGTGGCGGCGGCGGGCAGTCACAGGCACTCCGGTCGCACCAGGCCAGCCTTTCGGGCGCCGCCGACATTTCTGTCCCTCTCACCTGTGCCGATAAAAACGCCTGGGCAAACAGCGGCGGCGGGGGGCGCGAGCAACAGGGCACACACCGCCGCCAGCAGCAGGGCTGCCAGCGGGGCGCCCCGCGACATATTAAAGTTTACTGGAAGGTCTGCGGGGAACTTGAATGGCCAGCAACCACGAGCTGCAAGTGTGTGCACCGGGCGGTGCTACTTGGTGCGAGCCGCAACTGTGCTGAATGAATGGGGATAAAGCCCTTCACAGCATCGCAGACAGGCCAGCCACATTATCTGAGCTGACAGGCCGGACCGCACGGGTTTGGCGCTTTCGGTCTGCCACGCTGGAGGCGCTCCTTGTTCCCCCTGGCAATGGGACACATCTCCAAAGCTCCCCTGCATCCTGCATGTGCACCACGAGCTATTCAAGGCCTTTGTATGGCACCTGCAAGTTTCGATTGTGGTGGCGTGCATCTGCCGACCCACGAAGGGAGGAGCGCGGCTGCATGGGCACAGCAAAGTAATCAACAAGGAGAGCAGCTGGTGTTTCGCCTGATGTGCCTGGGCCCAGCAGCATGTGCCGCCCCCGACCCCGCTGCCCCCGCCCTGCCGCCACCTGCTCTACCTGTGTTGCGGCGCCGCCGCCCTCACATGGCCGGCGCGGCGCATCCCACCGAGCACAAAACCAGCGGTGTGCGAGACAGCCGCATACCCCCCACACATCCCCCACAATGTTTTCCAGCCGCATACCACTCACAGCCAGGCGACTGGCAGCCAGCGCGGGCACCGGCGATTGGTCACTTTTATGTGCCGCACCCTCTACAGCTGAAATCAGCCTGCCTTCAGCCTGCATCCTGCCCCACTGGCAGCTCTCAGCCATCTCGGGCATGTCTGAAGTTGCAGGCCAGTTTGCCCGCTTATACTGTGCCAGGGAGACGGCCGGCGCCCGCCCACGGCGCGCCCACCCCACAGGAGTGCGTGCCCTTGGCAACATGTGCCTCCCACACCGCCGGTGCCTCCCAGGGGCCCACAACTATATCCCCCCGGTCGCTGGCAGCCAGTGAGGGATGCCCCCCGCCTCAAACTCGTTGCATATTCACATTGTACGTTGATCATGTGTATGGAAGAGAAGAGTGGTTGGGTAGTCGGCGGCGGGATGAGGGCGCTAGCGCCTTCTTCCCTGCCGTTGAAGCTGAGTCACGGTTCACAAAGAGACAAGAAAAGAGTGAAAAGAACAGCAAAATGAAACGAAGATCATTGCATTATTGAAGGGAAGGGTTGGTTGGACTGGAGGCTGGGCAGGAGGAGGCGGGTTGAGCGTTGAGAGAGGAGGAAACGAAGTAAAAGGAAGCTATCGCTGTTGGAAAGCAAGCGTGTATGTAATACGTTACTCTCCACTTGCTAAAGTGTGCGTTTAGCCGAAACGCCTCTCTCTCACTTGCCCGCGTCTTGATCCCACACAAAGGCCGCAAAGGGTAGCTCTCCACTGGCAGATGCCACGACGGCATCGCCAGCCGGCGGCTTGTACGTTGATCCTGCAGTGGCAAGGCAAGAGGGGGCTGCGTGGCTCAGCAGGCTAACTGTGGCGAGCTACAGGAGGCATCCAGGGAACGGCATGCATGGTGGCGCTGTGCACGATGTGGTCTGCCAGCTCGGCAGGCGCACCTAAGATGCCGCCCACCGGCAGCGGCAGCGGCTGCAGTATGGTGAGGTACACATCCAGCCACTCCCCGTACTTCGGGTCACGCAGCTGCAAGCAGTTCCAGGTGTTACAGTCACCCCGCTATGATAGGCCGCGTGAGCAGACCTTGGGCAGGGGGCACACGTGATCAAGGGGCATCAAGAGAGGGGGTGGACCATGGAGCACCCTCTCCATGGCTCCGACCACCCTCCCCCCAGCTGAGCGTCCCAGGGTCACCCCACCCTGGCCCCACTCCCCGTCCTGCCGGACACGCAACCCCCACAACGTGGTGGGGGACGTGGGGATCCTTAGCAGCTTAGGCCTGCCAGGCCGACGGGTGCCGATGCTGGTGCGGGCTCCCGGCGGCAGGCAGCGCCGCCGCCGGGCACTCAAATGGCATGGGGCACATGGGCCCCCATGCCCGCACATCTCCCAGGCACATGAAAATACCAGAAGGCTGCACATGTAAGGGTGCATGCATTGCAGGCAGGAGTGCAAAGTGGCCTGCCGCGGCGGTCGGCTGTGCCATTACTCAGTCAGCCGCCGCTACCGTGCCGGGCTTGGCGTTCCCATGCCAACATGCCGGCGTGCCATCGCGCAAGGGGCCAGTGAGTGTGTGAGGTGGAGGTGGGGGTGGTGGGGCTGCCGCTGACCGCTGCTT